TCTTACAGATTATCCTCATTATCCTCTGGGCTGACAGGCCCAGATTACTGATCTGCTTCTAAGTATGCAATAAAGAAGGAACAGAAATCTGACTGGCTTTGGTGCAGAGCCACCTGAAGCTGAAATCGCAGCATGTGAACCCAGCTGTACCAGCCTCGAGACATCTCAGAGCCATGAAGCAGTGCTGCTGCTTAGACATGTCTGGCATGGAGCTAACAGATCTTCCAGGCCTGACCTTGAGTGCCATTGTTCTGTGCTTGCAGAACTGTGAGTGTTAAGGAGCAGCTGGAGAGATATCCCAGTACTTTGCAGCACTTGACGCAGCGCTGAAGCTGAGTGGCATGCTCATCCTGTAGTCTTTGTTAGATCCTAGGTGATTCCTGCAGGACCACTGCTGCACAGCTCCCAGTGGGCCACAGGTTGCCAGCTCTTGGCTGTCTGGACAGAGCTTCATGGACAATTATCCAGCCCACTTTCTTGCTCTAAAAGAGGAAAAAATATTAAAACGGCACAAGGTGGTTCAGATGGTTGAAAATTTATGCTTCCTTGTTGTGTTATTGTACTGGCTTTGTAGTGCATTTACGCTGACTAAACTAATTGTAGGATTCATTAATATTTTATCCTGCTCAGAAGTATGAGTTTGACTATCCAGGATTTCATAAACTAACTATATCCAGAGATAGGACACAGGGAACAGCTCTACTACTGATAGCAAAAGTCACTTAGTTTCCTAGCTGATTCATCTTGTCCACAAAGTCAGGACTAAACAGTTTACCAAATCTGGACTCATTCTGATCTAGAATAGCTTGGCTGAGAGCCATGGAGCTACGACACTAACTTTGGCCTCTAAGATTTTCAGTCACCCTCTAATGTATTTTGGTTTTTTACAGGAGAAAGCTTAAATTTTTTAAACTACTGTGAAATATTTGGTGTTTTATGAAATGTGGGAGCAGATATCCTGAAGTGGATTTTATGGTGAAATGCATGTCCTTGTGTGAAGAGAATGTATTTCAATGTTACAGCCACTTCAGGCATTAAGTTCCTGTTTGCTTTTCTGTATTTTAAAGTTACAGCTGTTTCTCAGAAGGTTTTGAGCTATGTGGAGTAGTAAGAATTCCTTTTGACTACACTTACAAGATGCCTAAATAGAAAATTCAAGAAGGCACTATGGGTTCAGTCACACATTTCCTCTCATCTGTTTGGAGCTTCTCTCACAGAAAACTGTACACACTCTATCAGTTTCAGTGACCTGAAAGAATTAATTTCCTTCTCTCCCTAGTTCTTTAACCCTTTCATTTTGAAAGCATTACTGGAATATAATTTCTTGAATATCACAAATACTGTATTTTATCATGATGAAAAGTTAAAAAAACAAACCTGAGATTCATATCCTTTTCAAACCAAAGTGTAATACACAACCACAGGAACAAAAAGTTGTGATCAACTTGTGGCATTTCAGTTTTACTTTGACAAATAGATAGATAATACAGTCATAATCTGAGAGCATCAAGAATATGTAGCCTTTCCTTTTCTGTTCTTGAAAAGTGTGGAAGGCAATTGCTCAGAAAACACAGTTTTAACACCATTGTTAATGCTTTTTCTTTTTGTACTTACTGAGGTCCCCCTTGTTTGCTGCAGCTGTATCTTAACTGAATAATATTAATGTTTTAATTTGACTTTTTTAGGGCTGTGAGTGTTAAGTTTTCATTTACTCCCAGGTCAGGTTGGAGTGTATGAGGATATGGTTTTCTTTAAGAATTTCCCTAGGAACTTTGCTTAGGTTATCTAAAGACATTAGGACATCATTTAGTTGCTTAAAAGTTTTAGTGGAATTTTGGTGTTTAAATGCTTAGTAGGATTAAAGACACTCTCACATCAAAAGACTGAATTTTCCCGTCTTCTACATCTTCCACCTCCTACTCCCTCCCCTTCATCCACGGCTGCCTAAATCGCTTCTCAATTTAATTTGGAGAGAAATTACTTTCAAACCCTGAAAAAAATAAAAAAATAAAGCTGATTTAAAATATTTCAGTTGAAAAAGGACCCTGTCAACCTTTTCTCATTGGGTTTCTCGCCAAAATGTGTCTGGGATTGACTTCACTTGGCCGTGTCAGTGCGAAACATTTCTGGAAATGGTATCCCCAAGAGCCTGCATCCCCTGTGGCTTTGAAACGCTAATTTCAAGATAATCTAATTAGGCTAATGACTTGTCCATCACCATACAAGAAAGTTGGGTGAAATTTCCCTGCCTCTTAGACTTGTGTCTCTATTTCATATTTTATTTTATTTTATTTTTTTTAATTTTATGTTACTGATGCTAAACAGCAAGAAGCACAAACTTTGATTTCAAGGAAGGAAAACACTCTTTAAAGAAGTAGTTGCTTAGAAGTCAACCATGCCATGCATTTGAGGGGACATTGAAAAGAAAATGGGTGTTAGTGAAGCAGTAATGCATACTTATATATCGATTACATTTCGTCTGTGTCTCAACAGCATTAAGTCTTCATTCAGTAGGACACACATCTTGTAAATGTTAGTGCGATCGGCTGAGACAAAAGGCATGCGAGGGTGCAGCTCTGATCTACTAATCCGGCTAATCTCTATGCTTTCGTCATTTACAGAGGGGATCGCAAGCCTAAGGGCAGAGAAATGCAGTCTCGACCCCTCATTAAAAGGAACTGGCCGGAATCTGTCCAAATGTTTTGAAGCTGCAAATTCAACTTGAAGTATTGACTGAGAGAAGGTTAAGGAAACCTGAGGGTGTGCAAAGCAGAATCTGTGAACCTCATCTCAAATTTGATCAAGTCAGAATCAGACAATCTTCCTGTTAAGCAACTTTTTGGCTTTTTGCATTTACTGAGCTTGCATGGCAGAATTACAGAGCAGAATAAAAGATCACTAAAAATACTGAGCTGCAAGATAGTAGAAAACGTGTTACGGAGTTGTGTTGGAGAACTTTTGTTTGCCTTTCCCGTTCAGAGTGAAGCCTACAAACATCACCTTTTTTTTTTTTTTTTTTTTTTTTTTTTTTTTAATAACAGATTCTTCCCAGGTTTGTGACTGTTGATTTTATTTACTGGATAATAACCGAATTATGATATGCCAATGTGACACTTTTATTTAAGATTGTTCTCAGTAATACGTTTCTCATTTCACTTTCAGACACAGCGTTTCTCCTCCTATCGGATTGAACTACGTTTTCTGTTTTGGGATTTCTTCTGTAATTTTTACCACTTCTTTTTGTTGCTGTCGCTGCCGTAACTGCCGTGAGAGGACAGTCGTTTCTCTATCGTGCTCTAGTGTGTAACTCGCCCGTCGGAAGGGACGGGGGGCAATGTTGCCCTTCTACACGGGTCCCGGAGCGTGCGGGCCGGCAGGGCGCTGGTCCGAGGGCATGAGCCATCCCCAGCTGGGCTTCCATCGCCTCAGCACTGAGCAGCGGCTGAGCGGGAGCCCTGTCGGGCCGTACACGGGTCCCTCCCGAGACGCCCGAGCGCTGCCTCCCGCCCTCCCTTCCCTGCTCCCGCGCGGCCGGTGCCGTTCCCGGGCAGCGCCGAGCCTCCCGTCCCGGCGGTGCCCGGCCGAGCCCGCGGGAGCCGCGCCCTCGGGCGGCCAGCGCCTGCCTGCAGGTGGCGATCGGCACCGCCGGCCCCGGGCAGCGGGGCTGTGCCTGTACCCAGCCCGGCTGTGCCTGTACCCAGCCCGGCTGTTCGCGTACCCAGCCCGGCTGTGCGCTGTACTCTAGCCCGGCTGTGCCTGTACCCAGCCCGGCTGTGCCCTGTACTCAGTCCGGCTGTGCCCTGTACCCAGCCCGGCTGTGCCTGTACCCAGCCCGGCTGTGCCCTGTACCCGGCTATGCCCCGTACCCAGCCCGGCTGTGCCCCGTACCCAGCCCTGCTGTGCCCTGTACCCGGCTGTGCCTGTACCCAGCCCGGCTGTGCCCTGTACCCGGCTATGCCCCGTACCCAGCCCGGCTGTGCGCTGTACCCAGCCCGGCTGTGCCTGTACCCAGTCCGGCTGTGCCCTGTACTCAGTCCGGCAGTGCCCTGTACCCAGCCCCGCTGTGCCTGTACCCGGCTGTGCCCTGTACCCAGCCCGGCTGTGCCCTGTACCCAGTCCGGCTGTGCCCTGTACCCAGCCCCGCTGTGCCTGTACCCGGCTATGCCCTGTACCCAGCCCGGCAGTGCGCGTACCCAGTCCGGCTGTGCCCCGTACCCAGCCCGGCTGTGCCCTGTACCCAGCCCGGCTGTGCCCTGTACCCGGCTATGCCCTGTACCCAGCCCCGCTGTGCCTGTACCCGGCTATGCCCTGTACCCAGCCCGGCTGTGCGCTGCCCCCGCCGCAGCGGCGGTGCCTGCTCGCCCGGCTGTGCCCTGTACCCAGCCCGGCTGTGCCCTGTACCCGGCTATGCCCTGTACCCAGTATGCCCTGTACCCAGCCCGGCTGTGCGCTGCCCCCGCCGCAGCGGCGGTGCCTGCTCGCAGAATGCCCTCTCCCCTCCCTCCTGTGCCCTCCACCCCGGCGCTGGTCCGGAGCGGCAGCCCAAAGCCACCGCTGCCGGGCTCGGAGCTGGGGAACGATTTGTAAAGAGCGGGGGGTAGGAGGGGGAGTCGTGGAGAATTTATCCGCGGTATCCCTCCAAACGGGAGGGGGCGAACAGGAATGACATCTGCGCCCAGCCGACGCTGGCGACCCATCGAGACCACCGCGGAAGGGGAGGGGGCGACGGGGAGGAGGAGGGGCGAGAGTAAGGAGGGAGGGAGGGAGGGAAGGAGGGAGGGAGGAAGCTAGGGGAGCGCGGCGAGGCAGAGCGAGGGGGAGCGGCGCGGGTGAGCGGCAGAGCGAGGGGCAGCATCTCGGCAGGCGCCGGCAGGAGGGCCGCCCCCACCGCGCGGGGCTGCGCGCTGGGCAGAGGCGGCGGGGATGGGCGGGCTTGGGGCGGCTCCGCCAGCCGCCGTCCTCCGAGCTCCGGCCGCCTCCCGCCGCGCTATATAGGGGAGGGAGGGGTGGTGGAGCGGGGGGTGCCCGGCGTGGCGAAACCGCACGGGGCGCCGATGCCTCCTGCCAGGGGAGCACACAAGTGACCGGCATCTCTTCCCATGTCTGTCTCCTGAAGCGACCCCCCCCACCCCCCGCCCGGCATGGATGTGGCAAACAATACTACCTCCCCAGCGCGCTCCCCCGAGGGGACAAGCGGCCCCGGCCTCGCCGAGATGACCCTGGGCTACCAGGTGCTCACCTCCCTGCTCCTGGGCACGCTTATCCTGTGCGCCGTGAGTGGCAACGCCTGCGTGATCGCAGCCATCGCCCTGGAGCGCTCCCTGCAAACCGTGGCCAACTATTTGATCGGCTCGCTGGCCGTCACCGACCTCATGGTGTCCGTGCTGGTGCTGCCCATGGCGGCCCTCTACCAGGTGCTGAACAAGTGGACGCTGGGGCAGGTCACCTGCGACATCTTCATCTCGCTGGACGTGCTTTGCTGCACCTCTTCTATCCTGCACCTGTGCGCCATCGCTTTGGACAGGTACTGGGCCATCACGGACCCCATTGACTATGTTAACAAGCGAACTCCCCGGCGGGCGGCCGTGCTCATCAGCCTGACCTGGCTTATCGGCTTCTTGATATCCATCCCGCCCATGCTGGGCTGGAGGACGCCGGAGGACCGCTCGAACCCCGACGCCTGCACCATCAGCAAGGACCACGGATACACCATCTACTCCACCTTCGGCGCCTTCTACATTCCGCTTCTTCTCATGCTGGTGCTCTACGGTCGCATCTTCAAGGCGGCACGCTTTAGGATCCGCAAGACAGTAAAGAAAGCAGAGAAGAAAAAAATCGCCGACACCTGCCTCACTCTCTCTCCGGCCACCGTGAAGAAAGGCAACGGGGAGCCCGGCAAGGGCTGGCGGCGGACTGTAGAGCCCAAGCCCGGCGCTTGTGTCAACGGCGCGGTGCGGCAGGGCCAGGACGGGACCGCCCTGGAGATCATCGAGGTCCAGCACTGCAACAGTTCCTCCAAGACGCACCTGCCGCTGCCCAGCGAGGCGTGCGGCTCCCCACCGCCGCCCTCTTTCGAGAGGCGCAACGAGAAGAACACGGAAGCCAAACGGAGAATGGCTCTGTCCCGGGAGAGGAAGACTGTCAAGACCCTGGGCATCATTATGGGCACCTTTATCCTCTGCTGGCTGCCGTTCTTCATCGTGGCCCTGGTCCTGCCCTTTTGTGACAGTAAGTGCTACATGCCCGAGTGGCTGGGGGCAGTCATCAACTGGCTGGGCTACTCCAACTCCCTTCTCAACCCCATTATCTATGCCTATTTCAACAAAGACTTCCAAAGTGCTTTTAAGAAAATTATCAAGTGCAAATTTTGCCGGCAGTGAAGCCCGCCACGCCGGGACGGGGCAAAGGGGTCCTGTTACTTCCTCCAGCCGCCTGCCCCGAGCCGCAGTGTGCCCCCGCCCAGCCCCTGCACAGCCCTCCCGAAGGGCGGGGGGCTCCGGCATCCCCGCTCCGCCCGAGTCACCCGCTTTACGCCCGCCGGGCGAGCCCTGCGGGTCACGGCAGGGCTCGGCTGGGAACGACGGGGGACGCCCGGCCCGGGAGGGCTCCGCGGCCGCCCTCGTCTCTCCCGGCCTCCACCGCCGGGCGCCGGCGCTCCCGCCTCCCTCCCACTCTCCATCATTCTGGGTAGACTTAGGGTTTGCAGGTCGTTGTTTGTGGTGGCTGTAAACCACAGTGTCTGCCCGAGTAGCATCGGTAAAACAAAACCACCCTATGCAGGAAACCGCCGTGTCGGGGATTATTATTGGATTTACGAGGCGACGGCAGTGGGCTGGGTCCGACCTCGGTCTGGGGTGCGAGTATGGAGGCTGAAGGCGACTCCTCGAGCGGAGGAAGGAGCTTTGGGCGCGTTGCTTCCCTTTTTGTGAAACCCTCAAGTGGATGTTCTTGGGGGAAAACCGCCCGTGTTTGGTAATCTTGCAAAGTACTAACAGCAACGTCCCCGTCCGTGTTACGTGTGCCTGACAGCCCTCCTGGTATGCTAGGACCTGCCAGTTCACCGGGGTTCCCTTTATTACAACACAGGGAAATTATGGGACTTAAAACCCCAACCACACGCCTCATTATATATGGAGATTTATGGGGATTATTTTTTTTAAATGCCTTGGACCGAGTGTTTCCCGGCAAGGAAAGTCTTGGCGCCGTGCGACTGTCCCTGAGTACACCGAGCACGCAATGGCACAGGGAGTTTAAGCAGCCTGCGAAGTAGCATTTCTTTCTTTCTTTTTTTTTTTTCCCTCTCTGTCTCTCTCTTTTTTTTAAAATTTTTTTTTTTCTCCCTTAAACCGCTAGAAAGTTTCTCCTGAGACGCTGCGCTTGCTTTGGAGTCAGTCAGCTGCGGCACATTTTGCCCGGGAGGGAAAAAAAAAAGAAAAAAAAAAGAATGGAAAAAAAAAAAGAAAGGAAAAAAAGAGAGAAAGACAGGCAACAACAAAACCTATCAACCAAAACATTGCCATGTGCTCCGTGGCAGTAGGGGAGGGGCCGAGAGCATCAGCCAGCGGCAGTCGCAGGTGGGGAAAACAGCATCTCGCCGCAGATTGGGAAGGGACAGGCTCTTTTCTCCTCCGGGCGAGCCCCGGCTGGGGTAAGCACGACCTTCCAATCTGAGAAGGTCTGAGAGCCACGGCCAGAAGCAGGCAGTGTCCTGAGGGTTCTCCTTGCTGACCTGGCCGGTCTCCGGGGCGGATCTGCAAGCCTCCACCCGCAAAGAGTACCCCCTCTGCCGCCCGCCCAGCGGCTTGGCCCCGGGAAACACGGTGTACTTCCCCTTCCCCGCCTGCCCCGGGGTTGGGGCAGGGCTGCGTTGCCCGTCGCAAAGCCGCTCCTGCCCCTCCACCGCCCATGCCTTTCCCTCCGGCTGCGGCCGGGAGCTGGGATCGCTTTCGGCCCGGGAGGACGGAAAGGCGCCGGGCCGGGTACCGGCGCTGGGCCGGCTGCCGCTTACCCCTGCGACGGGTTGCCTGGAATGAATGCTTGACCAAATATATATATATACATATATATATATTTTTCCTGTTTATTTTTGTGTAATCTGTGTTGCTTGTAAGTAAAAGAGAATGTGAAATATGTGTCACGTGAATGTAAGTGTCCAGTAATTTCTGAACTTCAACCGCTTACATTAAACGAAAATAGTGCTTTTGACAACCTCCGATATGTAGCTGGTTTTCTGAAAATCTTATTTGGCCTCATTTTCGCAATTAAAGTGATCTTTGATCTTATCTCTTCTTTGATCACTCCTAACCACACGCGTCCTAGATGTTCTCTAAGTGTCGTAGTGTCAGAGGAGTTAGCCTAGAGCGATTAGGGAGACGAAACTTCTCCCGAGCGCTCAGGTGCGGGGTGACTTTGGGAGCACCTCGCTCCGCGGGTGGGCCTGGGCAGAGCGGCGGGCCCCCGGGGCAGGGAGCGGGGACTGGGGGCCCGAAAGCGCCGGCGGTGCGGGGAGATTGCTGCCGTGCCCCGCACACGCGGGGTTTGCTCCTCTCAGTGCCTCCTTCCTGGAATCCTGCCGACTTCACGTCGGCTCCTCCACGTTTTGCCTTTTCCCAAGTAATTAATTTTTCTTTGTAAAGCTTCCTGAAAACTCCGCGGCAGCGCTCTCAGCTGTGACAGCGTGGCCGCCCCGCGGTCCCGCATGACAGACCGCGCGGGTCCCGCTGGCTCCTGACTTGGGGGTGGGAGGGCACGGGACGGGGCCACCCGACTTCGCCGAGAGCGCCAGGACCTGGAAGCAGGGAACACCCTGAGACGGGGCGGCCAGAGGGTGCCCCTTCCGTGCTCGCTGTATCCCTTGGCCCGCCCGCGCTCAGGGCTGCGGGCGGCGGCGGTGCGAGGGCACAGTGCCCGGGCCGCCTTGCCCCAGGCTCCTGCTGGGGAGTCCCGGAGCCTGGAAGCGCAACTGCCTTCGGCTGGCACCAGCAGGCGAGACACACCTTTTCCTGCCCGCCCCTGCTCCTGCTTCCCCGGGCAGGACGCTGGGACGGGGCAGGGGCATCGCTGCTTGGGCGCGCCGCCACCAGCCTCTCACCTCGGCCTCCCTCCGGACCGTGGCATGGCCACACGGGCCCGACCCCGCCGGCTCAACGCCGGGGAGGCTTCACCGCATCCCTCTCCTTATTCCCGACCTCGGGCCGCTGCACCAACCACGACGGAAGAACCAGCCCAGAACTCCGTGGGACTGTTTCTCTCAGCAGTTTTACCTTCTCCCTCCTTCTGTTGTGTCTACCCTGCCTCTTTATTTCCCCCCCCTTTTTTTTTCCTCCTTTGCAATAAAATTTATAATGTGGAGGAAACGACCTGCTTTAAAATGTAGAGCTTTTTGTTTCTGTGATTTTGTGTACTGTGATTTTCAAATTATTAATTTAATTTCCACTACAATTTAAGAAAAACCCAACCAAATCAAATCCCTAAAACCCAACCAACTTAGTGTTTTTCAAATCAATTTTGCATTAATCAATATTTGTGGTTAGTTGCAGTATTTTATTTGGTCCGCTAACAAGCAATGTCCTCGCAGTTTAGACAGGTTAATTTCAGTTTTAAAGGTCCTATGGAAGTTCAAGCAATGAATAAAATGAAATCCAAATAGCAAGCAAAAAGATTTTATGTTTTAAAAAGAGCACAGAAAACTGAATTTTAACAACTTGAGTCAATTGTGAATATCAAAGCTAAGTACAGACATAAAGGCTTTAACCTTATCTTCCTTTAAAATGCCACTGTAGACTGTTGTAAAACAATGGAGTTTCATAACTCTAGTTTTTCTCTGCTCTTTGGCTCCAGTTGAGGCTGAATTTGGGACTGAATCACACTTCTGACAAGAAGTGCTGGCAGAGTAATTGAAGCATACTTACACTGGCCAACAATATTTATGGCTGGGACTAGAGGGATGATCACATAGGAATAAGAAAAAGACAAGTAGGCTTGAGGTGGTTTCGTCCAAGCTGCAAAACAGATTTTGAGACCATAAAATTTCATCTCTTTAAATAGAAATTTTCGACATAAAATTCTTGATATGCCTTTCTTTCCCCTCTCAGTTCCATCCTGACAGCAGCATGCTGTATATCTGGTAAAAAGAACAAAACCAATGCCCCTAAATATACTCACAGTTAAAAAAACTTGGTCTCTAGAATCTGCAGTTTCAAACATTTTTCAGGACAACACTGTGAATCTTGCACTAAAACACACAGAGAAGTGATTCATCCCCAGAGAGAAGAAACAAAATGATGATGCAAGTGAATTTCTGCTTCATAGCTGCCCAGTTTTAACAGAGATTCTGTTTTAACAGTAGAGGTGACTATGACCCCTTTATACGTGGCTAGAGAAAACCCAAAATGGCAATCAGGTAGCATGAAAACAGTCCTGTTTTGGTGTTCTGCAAAATCTAGAAATGATCACATGTCTCAGAATTTTGGAAGCTACAGTGTCTTCTGTATTTTTGCATCTCAGTCCAAGTCTCCTGTTTGGGTATATGCTGCTATGAGTCTCACCTTACCTTGCTGCTCACAGCTGAGCTCATGTTCTCTCCGAGTAACCAGTGACTTCAGGGGCAATTCCACAGCATGACAGATCTGCTGTTGGACTGGAAGCAAAAAAATTTGGTGAATAATCCTTTCCACAGCAAGAATGTACTCTAAACTATATAATGTAATGGAGTAGTTTCTTGACTTGGGCAGTGCATGTCAGAAGATTCACTTACCTCTCTTGACTAAAAAAAAGTGCAAGCACACAGAGAACTCTACTCATATGTGGCCACAAGTTCCAGACTTGAAAATGCCTGTGCCAAGTTAGTTTGGCAGACTGTCAGTATTGTCCAGAAGAATGAAGATGAGGGATAGGAAACAGATGGATTATAAAATATTTTAAAAATTACTAAACCTGAAAAAAATTTGATACAGCAAGAAATAACCCAACCCAACTAAAACCAAACCCAGAACCCTCCTTCCCAGCAGAAAAAATCAGAGGCACATGACCATCCTGATAGTTTCTGAAATTTTCACAGAACTGTTTAATATAGTGAGTTCTTTCTTTAAAAACCCAAAACATTTCTTGCAAAAAAAACAAACTTGAAGAAATTGAAAAAGGTACAAGAGTCATGTTGAATATGCTAGCCAGCACAAGCAGAGGTCAGTATTTCCTCCTATTGTAATAATGTATTTGTTTATTGTTTTTACCAAAAGGCACTTGAAGCATCTTTTGCTATTAAGCAGAGTCAATATAATCCTTTCCAATCGACTTTCACATTTCAGAGCTATTTACACCCACATCTGAGCCATAGCTTATGTACACACAGGAGCAATGAGAATGATGGTGTTGTCTGTGGCCTATTTTAACTTGTATCTTGTTCCTATCTCTTGGCATCCCCGCTGTGCTTAGTTTGGTGGGGAGACACAGGTCTAAGGGATATGGTACAGAATGCACTGAAATGAGTATCATACAGCACAT